TGTTGCTTTTCACTAAACTTTCTAATACTTTCTTGTAACTTACATGTTCGTTTATGGACTTTGCTGTGTAGTTTTATTGCTCTTTCAGAAATCTTCTACTATTTTTCTTGGAATATGCAAAACACTTTTCGTTATCATTTCTGGTACTTAAAGTGTATTTTTACAAATTAAAACATTACTTTCTGCTTCTTGCAGAATTAAAGGGATCCCCAGAACTTTAAGGTATTTTAACTTACAAAATATGAATGGAATTGGACAATATAACTGTGACTCTAAGGGTGGAAAATGTTTAGAAGTGATCTCATCACCAACCTGGAACATTAATGATGATATTGTACATCATGGATGGTTTCATGTTCCATAATGGACGGAGCAGAAAGCTGTTTAAACAGGCATGAAGTCTGATCATATTGTGGATAATAAATCATTTATTTTTCATGCAAATAAAGATTAAGAGACGGGATGGAGAGCTGCAGAACACCTGCTGGATGGAGACCGCCTTCAGCAGGTGAAGACTGAATCAACACCAGAGTTTATCTTCTTTATTATTAGAGAAGAAGAACTTTAAAAAATACAAACTGATTGAATATTTGAAATGAAATCATTATGATTTAGTTTATTATGGAAATTAGGGCAGCATATCAGTCAATCTAGTTTTCTGTTAATCATATTTCAGAAACAAGGCAGTTTGAAATGCTTTACATCATAACACCATAAACACATCATACTGTCAACGATTGGAAAACCAGTAACACATTGCAGTTTGTTGAGTGCCATCATTAGAACAATCAATACAAAATGTACAATGATGGAATCCGATGCTTGAGACAAAGTGAGAAAAATCATAAACAATTTCATTAGAATTTGTATTTTTCTGTGATACTAAAAGAACAAAAAACAGGAAAAGAAATGAGGATTAAAACTTACGTCACCTTTTGGCAACTTTCTCAGTCTTGAGTCTTGAATGGTGTCACTGAGATCAAACATCTTCTGCTTTAAATTTTCTATGGTTTTCACAAGAGTTTAATACAGTAACTTCTATCATCCACCTGTGGTACCAGTGATGTGGGTCAAACAGGGTCAAAAAACAAACAGTTTCCATAAATGCTCCGACTAACCGCTCACTTTGTTAACTGGAGGTTTTTAGCTCTGATTCTTTGTGGCACAGATTCAACATTCTCAGGGTTTTTGGTCCGTCTAGAAGTTTCTGCTCATCCATGGTGAGACTCTTCCCAAAGGTCCTGAACTGGAATGAGATCTGTGGCTCTGGAGGCTGTCGGAGTAAAAACTGAAACCTGAGTGAAGTTGGACCCCCACCCTCTTCAAATCAGACAAAATTGGTGACAAACGTTTGTGCAGCAAAACGTTTTGTTTGTGCTGCTATCATTTTAAAGATATCAAGAAATGTTTCCAGAGGTCATGAAAGGTCAACCAGCTCCCCCTCCACCTAACAGCAGCTTCTTCAAATCAGGCAAAATTGGACTGTTTGTGCTATGTTTGTACAGCAAAAATGTTTTTGTTTGTGCTGCTTTGGCTTTGAATATATTAATGAAAGTTTAAAGGTCAAAAGGTCAACCAGGGTCCACGAAATCAAAATGGCCTTTAAACATTCATTGATATCTTCAAAGCCAAAGCAGCACAAACAAAAAAAAATTTGCTGTACAAAACAGCACAAACCTAGTCGAGTTGATTGACACCAATTTTGTCTGATTTGAAGAAGGTGTGTGTGTATGTGTGTGTGTGTGTGTGTGTGAGGAGGGGAGCTGGTTGACCTCTGGAAATATTGATATCTTTCAAATGATAGCAGCACAACAGAACAGGAAAATTGTTCCCACATATTATCGTCCATTTTGGTGAGTTTATACAAAAAGCAGCTACAGCTTCCTACTTGAAACAAGTAAAAGTTGTTACTACCTACTTATTGTACAAGTTTCAGTTGAATTGGACAATAAAACTGTGACTCTAAGGGTGGAAAATGTTTAGAAGTGATCTCATCACCAACCTGGAACATTAATGATGATACTGTACATCATGGATGGTTTCATGTTCCATAATGGACGGGGCAGAAAGCTGTTTAAACAAGCATGAAGTCTGATCATATTGTGGATAATAAATCATTTATTTTTCATGCAAATAAAGATTAAGAGACGGGATGGAGAGCTGCAGAACACCTGCTGGATGGAGACCGCCTTCAGCAGGTGAAGACTGAATCAACACCAGAGTTTATCTTCATTATTATTAGAGAAGAAGAACTTTAAAAAATAAAAACTGTTTGAATATTTGAAACTACTACTTTTTAACTTGGGGACTATTTATGCATATGTGCTTCATTTCATTCAGAAATACTTCATTCAAATAGAAATGAAATTTTGTTGTCCCGGTTGACATCATCAGCTGTTGGTCAGCTCTGCTAATCTGCCTCGTTTGCTTTTCCCGCTCCTCTATTAACCCCTTAAGGGACAGTGCGGGAAGTGTTATATATTTTCCAGGCACATGATGTCATTTTATAACACTGTCAAGTTACTATGTTACCTTCAGTTGTTATAAAAATGCTGTATGTATCAAACACAACTTAAAAGAACCTTGACTTTGCAGTTTGATGACTAGAAATTGGGCCTCTGTCTCTTTAAGAAACTCCGCCTTCAGTGGAGTTGATAACTGCCATTTATAACTCATCTTAGGAGTTGGGTTGAAAAGCAGTTTGCATAATGAGCTCAGCAGATGTGCTAACTGCTGCTGCCGCTAGTCTGGAGGAGCTGAGTGACGGAAAATGCAAATAATGAAATAAATGCCAAAACTTTCTGTTCTGGTAGCAAGGTTTGACATTTACCTGAATGATTTACTGTCTAATAACAACTATCATTATTACATCAGCGTTACTGTATTTATGTTAGTATCATTTTCTGTCATCAGAATGAGGAAAGCTTTGCTGGAACACAGTGAACTGAGCGACCCGAGCAGGAAGCGCAGCAGCTTTTATGAACTTGTGCTTCGCTAAATGTTCCGTTTCTTTTTTCTTTATCAGGCCTGCTAATGCACCGACATCCTCCCCGTTTCCAGAACTCCATTAAAGCCATTAAAGATTTGTTTTTTTTTCCTCCCCCTCTTTCTCCTCTGCAGACATCTTATCAACGTTTGGGTTGCAATAAAGAAGTGGAGGTTGGCCATCAACACGGCTGACGTCCGATTCATGTTTCGGTCTGAAGCTCCCACCTCCAGGACTCCTGGTGTATTTCTGGAGATGCTCAGATAGCAAAGTTTAATAATGGCAACTGTTCAGGATGGTCTCCATGGTAATGGCGCTGAACATACAGTATGGTACGTCAGGACACAGCGACGGCGATGTGAACTGCTTTAACATCTGGTATGATGGTGGAGGATTCTCTACCTGGTTTAAGATTTTGATATAAAATATTAAAAAAAAATAATAATCAGAGAAATCCTTATGAGGACAGGAAAGAACTTGGCAGCAGTGAGGCTATTTTAAGATTGCTTCTTTTAAACTGTTGAGATAATTTAGTTTTGCTTACAAAACGACCACATAAAAAAAAAAAACAGAACATTAAATATTCTGTAAATATAACCTGAAATATAGAGAACAAGGAGGAAAAATTAAGTTTTTATTTTTATTGAACCTTTAACAGAGTGTTGGGTTTTCTTTACATTTGGAAGAACCTCACTGTGGATCGGTGTGTATTCTGTTGAAAGGAAGAGTGTGTGTGTGTGCGTGTGGTTACTCTGTCCTCTGCCAGGCTCTGCTTGCAGAACCGGGGATGTCAGAGAGCCCTGCAGGTGTCAGAGTGCTTCTCTTCCTTCTGCTGCGCTCCTCTGATGGTCTGCATGTCGAAGTCACCGGGACGAAGAGACGGATTTGACTGAACTGCTTCCTTTGGAAGTTCGTTTGCATGAAGATTCCTGCTGCTTGTTGGACTCTTCAGCTGCGGTCCTGGGGGGATTCCATCTGCCCAGGTTCAGTTCTCAGTGGAAACAGCCCAAACACACACACACACACAAACTGATTGATAACCGACGCTGGTCGGAATATCAACACTGAGTGCCTGATGATGAAGCGATGACGTCCGATAAGAAATTTTATTTTATTTTTTTAAGTAACAGAAGAAAAGTTTTGAGAATTCAAAATATGAACAGGAAGGTGAGGAGGAGGAAGTGGCTTCTGACTGTGTTCCACTGGAGTCTGAAGCTGGAACCAAGGATTTGGAAACAACATCAAACCTAATCTACAGCTTTTTATTCTTTTTGTCTTTAATACACACGGTTTTCAGCCACCACTGCCTCATTACCAAAGTTAATGTCATGACAAATGCTGCAGAAGAGTTGTGTGTTTTACAGTAGCAGTGTTATGTGTTCACCAAACACAGTGACATTTTACAGCACAGACAAGTCACTATGTTACCTTCAGTTGTTATAAAAATCATATATCTCAAACATGACTTAAATGAAATTTGAGTTCCTAATTTAACACCTTCAAATTGGACCTCTGTCTCTTTAAGAAACTTTTGCTCTTTCTGAAACTCCACCTTCAGGAAGTCATCACAACATGGCTCCTCTATGACACTTGAACAATGTTTTTACCAGTATCTCACTGAGCAGTAGCTCCTATAATGAGCTCAGCAGACGCTCAGCTCCACCAGGTGTTTGCTAATTGCAGCTGGCTAGTCTGAAGGAGTCTGAACCCCAAAACCTGAAAGATAAACACTGAAAACCAATAAATAAGTTCAGCATAATATCAACTGCTTAAGTTTCTTTTGTAATGTTAGTTTTTCCCCCACTAGTCAGTTAGTTGACAAAACGTCAGGTATTGGTTGCTGTGGGTTTTTTAAGAGCTGTTATCTATTTTATCTTTTTGTATGCGTTTGTTTTACTCCTATTTTTGTCTGGTAACGATTGATTGATTGACCGACAGATTTACTGATTGACCGGATGTGATCAAAAACACTAAGACTGTTTGACGGCTGAAACAAAGCAAACTGACCAACATGTTGCTTTTTCTAGCATTTATTTACAGCAGTTTATCATCAGCATAATCAGTCCAGTCACACAGCTAATTAAATAAATCAATATCTCAATGCCTTATGATTCTGCAGCAGTAAACAAAAGAAAAAAAAAATAAATAAGAATAGAGTTGTTGAAACAGAACGGTTTCACAGAGGGGATAAAACGTTTCATCATGTTGGCTCTCGGTTAGGAAGCCGACTCTTACAGCTAAATGTGTCTAGAGGTTCAGCAGAGCTCACAGCGCTAAGCTAACTCCTGCGTCCTGTAATGAAAGACAAAGTCAGTTTGGTTTTCATCATCAGTGTCAGTTTAGCTTTTGAAAACATGTCCTCCGGTGAGCAGGTTGTCTCGATTCCTTCAAACAGAAGCAGAAACCTGTAACGAAGTCACATCCAGGCTGTTACAGCTGCACCACGTTGTGCTACGTTTAGCTGTTTGGGTCCGTTAGGCCCCGGCCTGCAGCGGCGTGTCCTGGGCTCTGACGTGGACGCCAGGCAGGGTGAACCAGGCCAGAGGAAGCTCCCGCCGGGCGCTGTCGTCCTGAACCTTCATGTTGAGGTAGAAGTCTCCGGTGTAGAGGAAGAGCAGGGCGCCCTCACACACCGAGCTCTCCCTGGGTTTAACCTGCGACGGAAACAAGAGCCGTTAGCGGACACCCTGCTGTCATTTCTACATGAACAATCTTCAACAAATCTTTGATGAGTCTTAATTAATGAGTTACAACATTTCCCCTGGGGATTCATAAAGTATTTTTGACTATGAATTAAACCGGGCACACCAGCAGAGAGGATGACAGTGTGTTAAGACCATTGTAGATAGAAAAGAAAAAAAATTTACAACTTCTTAAACTCAGAATATTTGAAGTTCTTCCTAGAAAATTTTTGGGATCAATATCAAAATTTATCCTCAAAAAGTTTTTTTTCCTCACAAATGTCTGATGTTCAGAGCTCAGAGATTTCCAAGTTTTTTCTGAAGATTGTTGAGATTGATCTCAACATTTCTGAGTTTTTTTTAAAGTAAACTTTTGGCTTCAGGTTCTTAGGAATTTCAATAATACAGTTTTCTGAGTTTTTAGATGAAATTTACTCCTATTTTCTTCTATCTCCAACATCTCCATGGTAAGAGTGAGATGTTGCTTTTGCTGTAAAAAGAGAAAAAAAGGTGAGAACAATCACCAAAATTAAGCTGCTCACACGTTCACTGGGATTCTTTTTTCATCCTTTCATCTTCTTTTCAGACTCTAAGCTCTTTGTTTTGTTCCTAACAGTCTCTTTCATCCGCCTGCAGTGTGTTTGACACTCAGAAAAGGTTTTTTCTTTCTTTCGCTCGCTTCTTGGATCCATTCTGTGCTAAAGCTTTTAGTTTAAGGATTTTAAGCAACACAGTTGAACTGTAGGAGTTTCACTGCCAACAAATACTTTTATTGCTCTTTAACTGGTTTCTCTTTATTTCTAAAAACAGTTCTGTGTCACACATGCACACACATACATATGTGTGTGTGTGTGTGTGTTGTGCAGACATGTTGAAATAAGCCTAATTTATTTCGAGGTTCCTCGCCAAGCCAGCTGTCCAACATCAGGCTGCATGTCGGCATCGGGCCCGGATGAACCGGAGCATGTGTCTGTCTCCTCAGCACGTTACCATGGTAATTCAGCTTGGAAACACAACGTGAACGCTCTCAGTCCCTCATCCTGACACCAATTAGAAGCGGTTAGCTCTTAATTCGAACCCGTTCTGTATTCACTGACATCTTGTTGTCTTTTTAAAGATTAAACTTTGTTGTGGCTTTTATTTTTTACTTCCTCTTAACCCACTTTTAACTTTAAATGAGTGGAATAAGTTGTGTGTTTTTAAAACCAGCATCATCTTTATTGGTCAAGTTTGCTAATAAAGATTCAATTAAAGGTTTTCCAAACTGGTTACTTCATGCAGCACAGGATGTAACTACAGAGGCTGATCTGTGTTTGGAGTCAGTTGAGCTTCCTGACTTATCATAAATATCAGCTGTTTGAAAAACATCAACCTTAGCCAGATCTAATTATTTAAAGAAACGTTCCGTTTGAAACGATCGGCCTATCCTTAGCAAACGGAGGCTTTAAGGAAGCTTACTGCAAACCTTCAATCGATCAATATGAACTAATAAATTACAGATCTACATCTGATCTTCATTTTTTTTTTTATCTAAAAGGTGGTAGCTGGTCAGGTGTGTGAGCATTTAAACAGTAACACCATGGTCCAGTCCGGCGGCTTGGTGTCAGATATTGGACCTGTATCTTGGTAGAACCAGTTCAGCTTTTGATGGTCAGTCATGATTTTCCTTTAGAAGGGATTGAATATGTTGTATGTATTAAAGGAACAGTCATAGGCTGGTTTAAATCCCATCTGTCTGACAGACTCCAGTTTGTTCATGTGAACAATAATTCTGTTTCAGGGTTACTGGTGGAGAACCACAGGGCTCCGTGCTTGGACCAGTTCTTTTTATGATATATTTTCCAATTATTCCAATTGGGAAAAAACCTCTGACCTTCTGACCTTCTGACCTTCGTCAACAGTTTTTACACTGACCTCCAATAATACAGTTAAGAACCTCTGTGTTATTTTAAACCAGGATATTTTATTTCAATCCCTTAAACATGTTTCTAGGATTTTTTTCCATCACTTATGTGTGTGTATTGTAAAGTGCTTCAAGTAAACATTTGTTATAAATTGTTGCTATATACAGTGGAGTGAAAAAGTGTTTGCACCCTTCCTGATTACATTTTTATTTTTTTGCATGTTTGTCACATTCAAGTGTTCAGATTTTTTTTCTCCCTTAATCATAAACACCAATTAAAAACTACAAAGGTTTTGTAACAGAAACACAGTTACTGTAAATAAAGAGAGTTGAATGATCTGATTTAAGTTGGTCCACCAATTAACATCTTAAAACATAAACTGACGTTTCAACCAGTATGAATACTTTTTGCAAACCGCCTGTGGCTTTACTGACCCAACCGTCTACAGCAGGGGTGTCAAACTCCAGTCCTCAAGGGCCGCTGTCCTGCAGTGTTTAGATGTGCCACAGGTAAAAAACAGTGGAATGAAATGGCTTAATTACCTCCTCCCTGTGTAGATCGGTTCTCCTGAGCCTTGCTAATGACCCAATTATTCTTTTCAGGTGTGGTGCAGCAGAGGCACATCTAAAAGTTGCAGGACAGCGGCCCTTGAGGACTGGAGTTTGACACCCCTGGTCTACAGGGTTTGTTCTGAAACAGACTGACCACGTCGATGAAAAAGGTGTTTGAGCCGACGAAGGTGACCGCTTCGTCCAGGTCGTAGTTTTGGACCCCGTTCTGGTAGTCCTGATACGGCATCACGGTCAGAGACAGCGGGCCCACCGGGTTCTTGTTCAGGTTGGTCAGTTTAACCTCCAGGGTCACGGCGTCGCCCACTCTGCAGTCTGCCACCACATCGCAGTCGCATGGCTTCCCGTTCACCAGCACGTCTGAGAGACAGGAGACAAAAACAAGAGAGCACATCTTTACATCAATGTTCATCAAATCCTTCAGACCAGGATTAGAAAATCACACAGCTCCTCAGAGACAAAACGGGTTTTCTTCAGACATTTTTTGACAGAGAGAGAGATGGAGAGAGACGGAGAGAAAGACAGAGAGAGAGACAGAGAGAGATGGAGAGAGACGGAGAGAAAGACAGAGAGACAGAGAGAGAGATGGAGAGAGACAGAGATGGAGAGAGAGACAGAGATGGAGAGAGAGACAGAGAGAGAGATGGAGAGCTTAATTCTAAATATCAAACTGATTCCCCTCCTTTTAATCTCATGCATGAAGAACTTGTTTGTTTTAGAAAACAGTGTCAAACACACACAGACGTCCGTTGTCAAGTAGATACACCATCCCTGCTGTCACAGCCAATCAGGAAACACAGAGTGACTTCAATTGGATTTCCCTGCCGTGTGCCACCAGCTCCTGAAGTGGCCCCACGTTTGGCTCCGCCGCTGATTGAGACGCAACGATCTGCTGTAAACAACAAGCCTGACGGAGTGAGCCCACAATCGCCTGGTGACGGCTCTTTTCGGTTTCACAGCGGCACACGCTCAGGCCGCAGCGCAGATGCATGGGGCCGGCTGGTGTATGCTTTCTAGTGTCACGCCCGCGGCTGCGATAAACACCATGAGTCACCGGCGCTGTGACAGCCTGATGGCAGAGCGGAGCCGCGTTCGCTGCTACCGGTGAGCTGGGCTGCTGAGTACAGTGGCAGAGAGAGAGAGCAGGACAAAGAGGGGCCCTGTGGAAGCTGGGGGCCCCAGAGGAGAGATGAGAGGTGGTTGGTGGCATTCAGCTCCAAGTCCGGATGAAGCACACTTCACCTCTCATCAAAAAGAGTCTACATGAGAGAGTTTTCTAACTTTGTTTCTAAAAACAACTTGTTCTGTTTTACAACTGGATTAAAGTTCAGACTGAACTGCTCGTCTTATATAAAATTAATAATCTATAGTGGCATTGAACTTTGTCACATTTTATCACTTTATAGCCACAAAATTCAGTTTAAAGAGGGAGAATTATATAAAATATTTTCTTAGCGTTACATCATGTCATGATGTCACTCGCTCATCAGAGACGCACTTGGAGTGTTGTGTTGATTCTTTCATGCAGGTTTGAGAAATATGTTAATCTCCCATGGCAACCATTCAGCTGTGCAAAACGCAGCCCTTTCCGTGACTCCCCACTCCTTCAGACTAGCCGGAAAAATTAGCAAACACCTGCTGAGCTCATTATAGGAGCTACTTCTCAGTGAAACGCTGGTAAAAACGTTAAAGAGTTAATAGAGGAACCGTGTTGCGATGACTCCCTGAAGGCGAAGTTTCAGAAAAAGCAGGAGTTTTTAAAGAGACAGAGACCCAAATTCAAGGTGTTAAAACACAAAGTCAAATTTCTTTTAGGACATATTTAACACATACAGCACTTTTATAACAACTGAAGGTAACATAGTTTTCATAGTTGCTTGATTGTTCTATCCAATGGTATGTGGCTGGAAAGTACATGACACCGCCCCTTTAAGGAATAGACTCAGCCTGTCATGATAATAAATTTTGCTGGATGATAAATTGTCCCAGTAATTATCGCGAGAAACGATAATATTGTTGTCTTGAGACCATTTTCAAATAATGTCTTAATAATGACATAATAGTACAAGTTTGCTCTGTCAATGACCAACACTGGAACTCTAACCCAAATAAAACACAATAAAAAACATAAATAAAAACCATACATGACCAAAACCATAAAAAAAGGATCAAGAAATCCCTAAACAAACAAAAACAAACATTAATCATGATGACCCCCCCTGTCCTCAGACCCACTGACTTGCAGTGTGAAGAGTTTTGAAGGTGAAGGGGTGAACAGGTTCGCTCCATCCATGCTGCCTGCCCTCAACTGGTGGAGACACTCTGATCTCAAAGCTTTCTGCTTATGAATGCAAAATCAAAAATATAAAGGTTTTGTTACTTAATTCAGCAGCTTCTAAAACTCTACCATTCCTATGACGTCCTACATCAACCATTTGGTGAAATAAAACAGAACTCTGCTGAGACAACGGGATGCACACACACTGTGTTCAAAACAACCACTTCATAACTGGCATCGTTGAGCCTTTAGTGACACCTTGGCAAGTGGATATATTTAGTTTGTTCAAAGTCTTGTTGCTAGGAGATGACAAATTATAGGTAGACCTACATTGGTTCTAAAAGCGGGGATACATTTTTTCCGCATTAAAAGTGAACAAAAGAGGATGGTTAGTCTGCTGATGAACTCCCACACACACACGCAGCACAGTCACACACACCCACATGCCGAAAAACACTCGCTCCAGAGTTTCTCTCGCTCTGCCGTCCCAGAGTGCCGGTAGAGGCAATCAGCTGGGAAATGCGGCCGGCGATGTTCATCGAACGCTGCACCGTGGCAAAGTGGTCGATGGTGATCTACCACTGTTCAAAAATACACTCAGCTAAATAAACATGGAGCTCATTCTGTTGTGGAGGCATCACAGCTGGACCAGTGCTGGATCTAGCAGATGAAGACTTCTGCCTTTGGCTCAGTGTCTCGGCGAATATGTGCGGACCCGAGAGGATGCGAGTGATCTTCAGAGACATCCGCTGTGTGTTCCCTGTTGTGTTGAGCCGAGTGTCAGCAGGTCTCAGAGTTTCCGCTACGTCCTCAGTTCTCACATTAAAGCAAACCGGCTATCTGCAGGCCGAACAGGCAACACTCAGGTTACACACCAGAGGCTTAGATACAGTCATAACCCGAGAATCCAACGTCATCACATCCACCTCTATATTACATGACTCCAAGCATCTGTCTGAATCTAAAATACTTCAAACTTTGGCAATTTGGGAGTCGGTCAAGTGTGAAAGGCGACAAAGACGGTGTGCAAACCCCAATGAACGTCTCCCCTTATCGCCATGCTACGACGGAACAGTTTACTGTAATTCATTGAGATTTTATGCGATGGACCCACACAAGACAGTACATATTCATCAAGTGGAACAAAAATACCTCATGGTTTCTAAACTGTTAAAATATAAGGTGATCTGATCTAAAACACTCTACTTGAATTGAGAGTGTTGGTGGGAGTCAATCTCAAAATCCTTGCACAGATTTGAAATTGGACAGGTTTGGAGTTTGACTAGGCCATTCTAATATGAATCTGATTCGATCTAAGCCAGAGATCTGCAACCTGTGGGTCCGCAGCTACAACTGGCTCTTTGGCCTTTCCACAGTGAGTCTTTAGAAAACATTGACTGGAAATGATAAGATTTTTTTAATGAAATTTTTTTTTATGGGATGACACTAAACGTAGATCTATTTTTCTATTTGTTAGGCTGGAAACTAAGTAAATATCATCATCATCTCATATAAAAGAAAACATGACCATCATGTTCTCAACAAGGCTTGCTGTTTTTCTTCAGACAAATTTTCCTCAAATCATGTTCCATAGAAAAACCTGCAAATATTAAACCTACGACAGCGGACCCGGTCAGTACGTCAGTCCTATGTGAACGCTACACTCTTTAGAGTTTAGCTTGTTAAACATTTGTAGACTTCACCTTCCACTTGCCAATTATGTACCACAGCAGGTCAGTATCTCACATTAAAAATCCTGCAAAGTGACACAAAACCAATGGCTATAAAATCACAAATGAGTCAAAAGTTCAAGGCAGTAAATCCTGGTGACTGAGGATCAGTGAGCAGTAATGTCACTGCTCCACTGGGTGCTGTCTGGGCAACGGGACGGAGTGGGTAAAAGAGCTCTGTCCACATGTTATGTAACACGAGTGCCTGGTTTGGTGTTAGCATGCTGTTCTCTGACCAGAACCCGCAGAGGCAAAGAGCTTAGGTGGACGTCGCCACGGCAACTGGGGGAGGTGACTCCAAAGTGAGTCTGCTGTAAGATGGAACGACAATTTGGGGATCAAACCGGGACCAGCACCTCCTTCAGAACAATCATGTGACTGCAGGTGGAAAAGCAGCCGGCGCACACCGACTGGGTCGTGTTGGCGTGTCGCCACGGCTGTCGGGTCAGATGGTGAGGAGTCGCTCCTCAGTGTTACAGGAAGAACGGACAAATCAGCGCCATGCTAATAAAGATGTCATGTCGAGCTTTATGGAGGACCGGATTTCTGACACAAGCACTTAGAGAACAACAGGAGTGACGACTCTATGCCATCAAACTGACTGTATGAGTTATGCTGTATGGCTTTATGTAAACTTTGTGAAAATGTAAAACATGATGGAGATGAAAATGTGTATAGTTGTGGTCAGGAGAGTTTTCCACTGTTCAGTTTTATTTTGTTG